CCCCCATCCCCCACAAAACATGTGTGTTCGTCTCTGTCTGTCTGTCTGTCTGTCTGTCTATGTCTCAGGGCTTCGTGGTGCCCCAGCCGCCGCCCCCATCCCCGCCAGCGCAAGAACCCACAGACGAGGAGGAGAGCACTGGCGAAGGCGACGAATGGGTGGGCAAACAAACCATGGAGAACCAGAGGAATATTTATCTGTCTCTCTGTCTATCTGTCTGTCTGTGTGGGTGCGTGTGTCTCCTCTCAATCAGGATAGCGAGGGGCCTTCAGAGGCGTCGAGGAGCAGCGGCAGCGAGGCCACGTTGGACACTTCGAGGGGCCGCAAACAGTATGACAAGAGTATCGGGCCCATCGAGGTCTTCCCCGACATCGACGAGGAGAGACGGGTAGTGGATGGTGCGTGGCGGAAGAGGCGGCACATGTATGTCCGAGTAGGGTAGTTGGCTACTAGCTAGTTGCTCTGTGCAGGGTACACATTCATTCATTCACTCACTCATGGCCATCCTGTGCAGCTTCAGGTGGAGGTGGGTGCGGTGCGACTGTCACACACCCACACTGCGACAGACGGCGTCCTTCCATTGCAATGCAGCCCCAGCAGCTCGACAGACCCGAGGACCGATGTTTCCTCGTGGGACTCGCCACGATCGGTGCAGTCGAGGTGGGTTGCCCACACAAGACAGCGAGGGAGTATTCATCTGCTCAAATGCATTCATTCCATCGAGTCTCTCTCTCTCTCTGTGTGTGTGTGTGTGTGTCTGTAGGTCATCCGTCTCACTCGCTGTGTGATCCATCGCCGCCTACATTTTATATTTTCGAGGGACTGTCGATACATACCAACGGATGTCAGCTTGCTGTGCGGAGGAATGCTCGACTCTGTATTGTGACTTTGTTTGATTCACGCGATGGACAAAACACTCCTACCCACTCGACAGTCCAAAATCTCTCCCTACAATCTGGCTCCCCCTACCCCCTCCCCTCCTTGAGAGGCACAATGACGTCGTCAGTGTACCTCCACTTATCGGATCCGCCCCAGCCCTCCCTCAGCGCCACCCTCTCTCTGTCCTGCCTGAGGTTGATGTCGCCATCAACGTCATTGGCGACGGGCGACAGGTCCTCCTTGACACTGCCAGCTGTGCTCGAGGTGCCGTCAGGGGGTGCAATGCCGGCGATCTTCTCGAGCGTGGCCAAGGACTTCTCGCCTGGGTACAGCTCGCCATTGATCTCCCACGTTGGGTAGCCCGGCACCTGACATGACAGACAAACAGACAGGCAGACAGAGGGAACAAGAGCATTCATTTTGTGGTGTGGTGTAGTGTGTGTGGTCGGTTGTCTCTCACGTACGTCTCGTTTGTCGCATCTGTCTCTTTCGGAGTTAAGTCCCTCCCTGGCACACTCTACGTACTCAATGTAGCCCTCAAAGGCCTCCTTGCCTGCGCAAGACACATGCACATCCATGAATTGAATGCTGTCAAGCCATCAATCACCGGCTGACCGAATGTCTGTTTCTGGTCATAGCAGTGGGGACACCAGTATGCGCCGTACATGCGGGCACCTGACGGAGGAACACACACACACACACACACACATATATATATACGTATATTCATCCAGCCGCATCAGTCGCTCGTTCCTCGGCTGCTGCATGCATTACCCATCGTCTGCAGCTTCTTTGCGAGTCGGAGAGAGCGTGCTGACGAGGCAGTGGTGATCTCGGGAGGCACAAATGGACCCTCACTCTCAAACAAACGCTGCGCAATGCGCGACGCAAGACACAAAGCATAGATAGAAGAAATACAGCCGACGTACGTATGTGTGTGCTGTGCTGTGCTGGACATGTGTATGCAGCATGCTCACATCGAGGAACCATCCCGCCTCGTATCCCTCCTCCCCCTCACTGCCGGCCAGCGATGCCACGGGATTCCTCACGAAGGCCACCACGGCCGCCAGGTTGCCGGGCTCCTGCACCGAGTACACCCCTAAGCTCATGACGGCCATGACGACCGCCGTGGCGTAGCGGATGATTCTGCTCTGCAGTCCATCCGGGACGATGCTCCACAGCCACGACATGAGGAATAGCGTCAAGGAGAGGCCCGCAGAGAGGTAACAGTAGGGGCAGAACTCCTGCAGCTGAAACACCAGCACCGACATCAGATACACAGAGAAGGTCGCCATGGCCGTCGTCAGGGCCAGCAGCATGGGGCGCGTCCATTGCTCAGCTGATGGCTTGGACAGAGGCAGCAGCGACAGGTACGTCACCAGGCCGTATGCCAGCATGGCGGGGGCCGTCAGAGGGATACCGAAGACGGTCGAGTAGGGACCTCCAAGCACTGTGTAGCACCCGCCGGTGGGGCAGATGGACGCCACGGACGCGAAGAGTTTGGTGTAGGTGAGGAAGGCCGTCTCCACCAGCCCCACCCCACCCACAAAGGCCATCAGCTTCCGGTTGATGGCCGGCCATGGCGATGGTGAGGGCGGACGGCCACTCTCCTCTATCTTCTTCGTTGTGATCTCATCCTCTGCCTGTGGCTGTGCTGCAGTGGTGACCGACTCATCGGTGCTCCTCACGCCGCTCTCGACAGTGTCCCGCAGGATGGATGGATGCCAGTGCCTGAGCGACAGCCGCCCTGGCCTCGCGAGCCGACGATGGGCGGGCAGCGGGAGAGAGGAAGGGACAGGCGGCACGACGAAGGAGGGGATTGGAGAAGCGATGAGGTGCATTGCCGTGCGTCAGTAGCGGTACACCGGCAGACGTCAAATAGCCCTCGTATGCCTGCACACAAACATCAAAGACGGACGGTCTTCAAGATCTGACGGTGCATCTTTACTTACGAGAGAGATCTGATGTCCCTTTCAATCGACGGAGGCCTCATGATCTGTTCTCCCCCTCCCTGCCAGCTGAGCTCGCAACTGAGCCGTGGCGGATCTTTTCTCCGACTTTCGGGAAAGGTGACCCCCAGAATGATGGATTATTAGGAGGGTGACGGCTGGATGTGAAGACCGCAGCCCACCGCTTGTAGGATAACCGCCGGCTTCTCTGTGCTGTGACAGACGGCGGGAGGCCGGCGGCGTCGCTTCGTTCATAGCCCTCTGTGTGTCTGCTGGACACATCGCACACCGACCGACCGACAGAATCGCCTCACCGACGTGAGAATGTGGTGTTCATCCATCCACTGACTGACTGCGACTGCGATGGAGTGTTTGTGTGTTTGCTGTAGTCATGTCGATGAGTGACGTCGGGGGTGGCGCGCCGCCCAAACGGCACCGCACACAGGAAGGGGAGGAACTGGTGGCATCTAGTATCAGACAATCGGTAAGGCCTCAAAAGCGCTTGTGGACACATGACGTGGGGCTGTCTGTCCATCTGTCTGTCTGTTTGTTGTGGTTCAGTCCATCGCTGAGGGTATGGCTCAGCTGGAGGAGCGCATCGCATCACTTCAATCACACGTAGAACAGGTAACCGACACGTTCACAGTGACATGACGCCATCCATCCAGTGGGCTCCCAGTGTGCCCTCTCACTCTCTATGACGCCGTCGGCTGTTTGTGTGTCTGTCAGGCCACTCGCGAGGCTACCGATGTGCAGGAGCTCTTCAAGACGACAGTCGCAGCACAGGTCAACCACACACGACCAAACAATGATGCCATCAGCACACTCTCCCACTGTGTGTCTTTGTGCTGTCCTGCAGACGCCATTTCTCGCCCAGAAGTGGCCTGGCGTGTTGTCGGCTCTCTCGTCGGCTGCCGACGGTCTGCGTGGGATCGATGGGGGCGTCAAGGGCACCTGCCGGCCGATCGGCTGGGCTGAGCCGCCACCACCCAGACACTTGAGCGACGACCTGTCGGCCGATTTGTGGCGTGACGTCATCTACCCGATGCTGTCTGCGGATGAGGCCGTCTGCTCCGCCCGCCCCACCAGCAAGACACACGGCAGCCAACTCGTCGATGAGACCTTCATGCTCACACGCATCGACAAGGACCTCAAGAAATACTCACTCACCGGACTCATCGATGTCGAGCGCCCCACCCCACCCATACACACCACACCCACACCCACACCCACAGCAGCAGACACCGACCCCCCCGGTGGCACGCCGACATACCCACAGCCGGCCAGCGATGCCGTTACCCCAGCCGAGCGCATCCGGCTGTTTCGCTACCTGTCGGCGTCCGCCTATGCACTCGAGCGAGGCGGGGAGCTGTTGCGGCAGCAGATGGCCGACTTCATCAACCTGGCGCGCAACTACAAGCTCATCAAGACACTGCCCCTCCGGCTGGCGGCTGACTGGATGGCCGAGCACCTGCCCAGCAAGACGGCCTTCGATGAGCTGCCACTCGCCCTGGCCGTCTACAAGACATTCGGCCACATGCTCAGCTGCCAAGGTGACAGCCTGGCGCTGCGGCGGGTGGATGAGCAGGATGATGAGAATGAGAACGAGAGCGAGAATGACCAAGACAGCGACAGTGACCTCGAGGACGACGATATGGGCGACGAGAGAGGGGATGAGGAACAAGATGACGACACCGACCAGCACCAGCAGGAGGGCCAGGGGGGACAGCCAAACGATGCAGACGGCCAGCAGCAGGGGGGAGGCAACGCTGAGATTTCAGAGGAGCAGGGGGACGATGCCATGGGCGATGGGAGCGAGCAGGATGAAGGAGACAACGAAGCCGCGGTTCAGCAGCAGCAGGAGGGGGCTGGGGGCGATGGTGCAGGAGGGCAGCCGGGCGATGGGAGTGGTGGGGGCGTGACAAGCCAGCGCTACAGGATCGGCACCGTTCGCTTCACGACCGTCCCCCTCACCGGTCTGCCCCTCACCCACCCCTACCGCAGCACATACGACCACAGCGATCCTGTCGTCCGCAGTGGGGGGTCCCTCCTCCCATCATTCACGGAAATCCTCAAGCGGACGGTCCTGAGGCGGTGGTATGACGTGACGGCCGGTGGTATGGGCGCGGAGGGGGTGGAGGAGAAGCTGGTGAGAAGTGTTGATGTCGGCCGTGACGACAGCCGCTATCAGTCCCTGATGACAGCACGATCCATTGAGGGCTGCAAGACCGTCGATATCATCGATGAGGATCGATTCGGCCTGGGAGATGGCGGCCGCCTACGACTCATCATCCTCAAGGGCACCGCAGCCAACGACACCATTGCGGTCCACCTGTGGGTGGCAAATGGCATCATCAACCTCTGGACGACCGAGGCGACAGACATCGAGCGGCATCCCGTTGCCGTGGCGGCTGCCCGCCCCTTGTTGGGCAAGTACGGCCTTGAGAGGACAGTGCTCCGATAGATGGCTTAGCTGAAGACACAGCGGTGAGGAGGGAGGGGGGATTCGGGTGAGGGAGAGCAAGTAGCGTGACATGCATGTCATTGGATCTTTTCACTCCTTGTGTCCTGCGTGTGCTGTGTTGATGTCTGCAGGTGTCGCATTAGTCTGTTGGCGGGGCAGTGGGGCGGAGAAGTGCGGCTGACGGGAGGAGTGGGGGATCGATTATGGCGCCTCTTTCTGGGAGGGGGTGACGTAGCCGGCCGACCGACTGGTGGCTGCTGGTCTGTTCTGATGAATGAGTGCACGATGTCCTTCCTGCATCGCTTCGTGTTAACAATGACCGGCCGCTGGCGTGATGCGATGTGATGTGTGTCGGTTTACTGTATCATGCCTCTCTGTGTGTCGACGCATACCATTTGACGAGTGCACTTCGAAGTGACAACAGTGTACACAGACACTTCGGCCCCCAGAGAGATATCCATATCATCGGCCGGTGATGGATGTGTCTCCCGTTCACATGGGTTCACACATCCATCCATTCATCGCCTAATGTGTCAAGGGAGGGGAGGGATGCCGACATACATACGCATGGTTGGGATTCAATTCATATATTCATCAAGCATTTCAAGTCATGCACTTAATTGTCTCTTTATGTGACGTCTGTCTGTGTCGGTGTGTGCACATCAGTCAGAGACACTCATGCATCGTCTTGGTCAGTGGATTATGTCGTCTTGGTCAGTCAGTCGGCCGCACCACATGCAGATCGATCATGCCGCCACAGCAGACATCACTGCACACACACACACACACACACAACATCACATCAACCCCCCTCCCTCAGCTTTGTCACTCTCTGTCTGTTCATCTCATCTGTGCCAGCCAAGTCAGCCTACTTGTGAGCAGCGGTGTGTTGCCACCTTCTCCGTTGCACTGCTGTTTGCAGGTGTCGGTCTCCCACTGCCGCTCCTCTCCCATGGCCAGTGGGTGGTGTGCACTCGTCTGGCAGCACAGCTCACACGCCTCCGTCACACACGACGCCACATCGACCTCGCTGTCGTCTTTGGAAATGCAGTGGGCAAACAGAGCCGAGTCGGTGGCGCACGCCGATGAGTATTCGGCGAAGGCGGTCTCTGTGGCGGCCGCCAGACGGTCGTTGGCGCGACACGCACTCTCGCAAGAAGACTCAACCGACGAAGGCAACCTGACACACACGTAAAAATCACACACACAGAGGGAAGGAGAGACAATGGATGTGTCAGTTCGTTTCCCTTGTCTGTGTCTGTGTGCGCTGACTGACAGTGCGGTGTGGTATTTGCAGCATGACGTGCAGAAGTCCGTGCCAGCGCTGCGGCACCCACCTCTGCCCTCACCGCCGTCGGGACCCACCAGCTGAGCGCACCGCTGCTGCCTCTGGCGGAAGTGCACTGCCGACGCGCACACGGAATGGCCGGCACTCCTGCCGCTGGTGGCTGTGGTTGCTGTGGCTGTTGTGGATGTGTTGTGTGTGGGTGGGGGGGCGGTGTTGTCTCGTGTGAGGCCGGAGGGCATGAGCTTGAAGGTGTCGAAGGCCACGCCCCCGCACCCATTGGACGACAGACCGACAGCTCCGTCGGTGTGTGCGAACGGATCGCTCACACTCAGCTCGCGGACTGACGACGGCCCCTCGCCCACGCGAGACAGACGAACTGCATCACACACACATCCACACACATCATGGGTGTGTCTATCTGTGTGTGTGTGTGTGTGTACCGTTGACAATGGGTCCGTTGAAGGTGACGTCGAGTGTGTGCCACTTCAACGGGGTCCAGCCGCCGTTGGGATTGGTGGCCACGTCCGCTGCTTGGCCGGCCGTCACGCGTCGCAGCTTGAGGGCCGAGGGCGACACCTGCGCCAGGTGGAAGTTGTTGTTGTCAATGTGGCGGAAGACCACACCCACCGCCGCATTGGCATTGGCATTGTCACCGTCGCACTCGGGCAGCAAGTCGACGGACAGGCGGCCGTCCCTGCAGGTGCGGTGGCCTTTGAGCAACACGTGGGTGCCGATGCCTTCCTTGCCACTAACGGCCGACAGCTGTGCGAGCGTCTTGGTGCGGCCGTGGATGTGGTCACGGTAGCGCCACTCCGACGGGCCGTCCTGGCTGTCGACGGGCTCCTGAAGGTGATAGACCGACTCGAACCGGCCGTAGTAGTCCTCACTGCACACACACACACATGAACGTGACAGACACGACAGACACACCACAGATGACTGAGTGAGTGGATGGCTCCGTCTGTCGTGGTGTGGCTGGTTGGGTGTCTTTGTTGCTGAATGACCGGAAGAGGCTGCACTTTGGTGGCTTTGGTGGCGGGGGCAGCTTGGACAGCTTCGTGCACGGACAGGCGGCGACAGTCACTTTGTCGAAGAAGACGCCGTGGTGCATGCCGCTGGTGAAGAGGTCCACACTGCCGCTCGCTATCTCGCTGTCGTGAGCCGACATGACCACCACAAGCCGCCCAGATCCGCTCGCACCTGTGCCATATTCCATCCACACACACACAGGCAGAGACAGACAGAGAGAGATCCACGAGTGGGTGTGAGTGGTTATATGTGTGTTTTGTGGGTGACGTATGTACCCGCAGCGACAGTGATGAGTCCCTGCCGGGCCGTAATCTCATACGTGTACCAGGTGCCTGGCAGATACCTACACACACACACAGACAGACAGACAGACAGACAGACAAAGAGAGAGACAGAGAGAGAGATGGTTTGGTTGATGTCAACGTCAGTGTGTGTGGGGATGGGTGGCTGACCCGCCGTCATGGATCTCTTTGATGACGGTTGGCTGTCCGTCGTGGATCTTGATCAGCCGTTTGCTCTTGGCCATCGTCATGTCCAGCAGGTACATGTTGGCAGGGTCGCGCACGCGGAAGGCGATGCCGTAAGTGCCGGGGCCCGACTCGACGTACGCCTCGACGGTGAGGCGGAAGTCATAGGACCGGTGCGACCTGAGGACCGCCAGTGATCCCTGGCCAGGGAGGCCGCCAAAGGAGCGGATGGAGCTCGTCTGTGCGATGACGCGGTCCCTGCCGCCGACTGGCTTGTCGCTGGTGGATGTGATGGACCAGCTGCTGGGGGCGTGCGTGGCCTTGTCGGTGTCCGTCACAGCAAAGACCTCGCCGAAGGAAGATATGGCGTCGTAATCCAGCCGCCAATCCTGCACAAATCATCATGATACACACACACACACACACACATCGACCAATGACATGGGAGTATATGCCTCTCTCCTCTCTCTGCCTCTCCCTTTGTGTGTGTGGTAAGTGACGTGCCTTGAATGCGTGTGCGGCCTTCTGCATGTCGGTGGCCTGTTGCAGCTTGGCGCTGAGAGTGGCGAGTGCACTGCCCGTCCGCTCACTGACGGCCGTCAAGGCCTCGATGGTGTTAGCGGCGTGCTCGTAGAGGTCCTCGCTGCGGGCCTCCTGGGCGCGATACAGGGACACGGACTTCTTCAACACACTCCGACACTCACCTGCACACACACACACAGAGATACATACGGATGCCATCTCATCCACCAACACACACCACACAGGCATTCCATTCACTGTCACCTACCGAGGATTTGTCGAGCCTCGTTGGCCTCCTCCTGCACGACGTGCTGGTCGAACTTGGCGCACTGCTGGTTGATCAGCCGCAGTGTCCTCTTGGTGACGGCTGACAGGCTCATGAGTCCCGCCTCGTCCTCACTCCCAGCCATGGCCGCCATGGTTGACGAAGGATCGACCCCCGCCGACGCACCGCTGCTCACCTGCAATCACACAACACTCACACAACACTCACACAACACTCACACACATGGAGTGGGAGAGTGGGAGAGTGGGACATACGGATGTCTGTCTGGGTGGTCACTGTCAGCAACCCACCTCAATGAAGCTGCTGGTGGTGCTGCTGGTGGCTGTGTGGGTGAGAGACTCCACCGGGCAGTCGGTCGGCAGTGGGGTGATGAGTATGGAGCGGTCGGTGGGCTGGTCCTTGGTCTGGCTGGTGATGCCGTTTGCCGTGCTGCCCTCGTAGGCGTTGCGGCCCGTCTCGATGGCGACGTTGACGATGCCGCCCTTGGCTGGTGTGAGGCGGCCGCTGTGGATGGCCGCCAGACACACTGACGAGTCATCGCTGTAGAGGCCACCAGAACCGCCATACACAGCCACATCTGCACACACACCACACCACCATGCCGTGACACCACAGCACAGCACGCCAAGTGTGTGTGTGTCCTGTCCTGTCCTGTGTTTTGCTCGTGCCAGCATCCAATATATCCACCTGTGTCGCTGGCGGCGCATCCCGGAGGGCATTTGACGATGAAGTTGGTGTCGACTGAGCCCTCGAAGGCGCTGTTGGACCGCACAGCGGTGTCGCAGTCGAGGTCGAGGTGTGCGAGGGGCGGCGTCTGGCGCACTGCGTTGGTGCTGCACACCACTGCCGATATGTTGGTGGTCTTCCAGCTGAAGAAAAGTGCATGGCTGTCGGACCAGCCGAGACCGGCGGTGTCCTTGCTGCCCCCCGCCGCTGATGCTGGTTGGCCGGCCCCAGACACAGATCGCAGGATGCCCGTCAGATCTGTCACACCTGCCACACACACACACACACACACACACAGATGCATAGGCGGCCATCTGTCTGTCTTGTTGGTGTGCACAGTTACCGTCCGCGAGGTCCATGTATTGCCCGCTGCACTCGCCGCGGTCACACGCAAAGTCGTAACTGACACACACACACACACACATGCAGTGCACCACGGATGTGTGTGCGTGTCTGTGTGTGTGTGTCTGTGTGCTTACGCGAGCGGCACTGCAGCTTTCTTGAGGAGGTCGAAGCCCATCTTGGTGAGCATGGTGATGAGGGCTCTGAGTGTCGAGGCCGACGGCAGGATCAGGGGGTAGAGCCCCACACTGGCGCACACGCGCCGCACGTCGTCCACCGATGACACCTTGTCGCTGATCAACGCACTCGGCGAACGGGGCGGCGAACCGTTCCTGTGTCGACAGACGCACACACACACACATTGATGAGGTGATGTGTGGCATCTCTGTCTCTGCGCTGCGTGTGTGAGTGCATGTGTGTGTGTCATTAATATGGCCCTCACTCACCAGACGAAGAGTGATCTAGCGGCGTTTCTGTCCTGCATGTCGCACCACACGCGAATGGGGGCGGGCGCACACTTGGGAAGGATCCAATAGAAGCCAGAC